TGTGAGCTTAATATTCAGATTTCATATTAACGTTTGTCTGCTTTTTCTCTTTTAGAGAGAAATATTTAACATTTCTATTAAACACTGTCAAATTATCTATTTCTTCCTACAGTGTTTTCAGTTTTTTTTTATATACTTTGAATCTATACTGTTAACTGAAAATATGTTCATGATACATATAATCTTGCTTTGCTATTCATTTTACCAGCATATAATGTCATTCATTGTTTCATAAGTTTTTTTGCTTGAATTCAATTTCATGAGACATTACAGTTGCTAGCCTAGATTTCTTTGGTTCGATCTCTCTGGTGTATCTTGTTTTCTTTTATTTTCAACTTTCCTGCATACTTCTAATTTAAGTGTGTAGAGACAATATAATATTGGATTTTTCCCCCTTTAATCCAATTTGAACATTTGTCCTTTAGTAAATTTAAGCTCTTTACATATGTGGCAGGGCAATTATCATTATTTTGGGACGTATTTTTTCCATTGTATTTGAGATTTACCAACTATTTTACTTGCTCTTTAGATTTTTTTCTCCGTTTTGTTGGACAGATAGTTTTCTTATGCTATTTTAGGCGTTATATAATCTCCCTGTTGATTTCTTAAACTTACTAGCATACATTTCTTCCCCAACGAGACAAAGTGTTTTGAAATTCTGCAGCACATTGCCACCACCCTTTCGGTCCTCCTCTCACCCTGGTCCCCTCACCTTATCTAGATATCATTTGGGATTTTAGTTATGGTTTGTTCTAGATGTAATTTCCCCCCTTTTCTTTGGTCCTTGCTTTTTTAGACAATCATGAATTGAAAAGCTTGGCAAGTGTTGTCTCATTTGTTAAATGTAAATAGTTCCACCTTAATGACTTTCGTGGGGAGTGAAAGAGGCGATCTAAGTGAGAGCACTTGGTAACGTGAAGAATGACACAGATGTTGATTATCAGTCAAAAGGTGCATGCTGACCCAAGGCCTGCCCATTTTCTACTTCTTGCAAAAGGTCTTTTCAGTTCCTTAAGTCCGCTTTTCAGAAATCTGAATTAAGGTTTCCTTTATCACACTTTGTCCCTTTATGACATATCTCTGTGTTATTAAGTCCACCTCTCCTGGTAGGCTCCAGCAAAGGACACTGTGTAGTGTATTTCGCCAGGTTTAGCACATTGAGCAGGGAAATCCCAAGGATAGCAGACTTGGGTATGTTGCTGATGGACCCTGAGCCAGGGTGTTTTTGGAGCTATCTATCACTTATCTGCAAAGGAAGGGAGAGCTGTGGAGTTGAGGGCACAGTACTTTCTGCTTTAACAAAAGCTCTTTTTTGTGGGAACAGTGAGTTCTGTAATGGAGTGAAAACTATTTTTAGATGCCATTAAGATTAAAACGCATTATGACAATACGTGGCCTAATCTCATGGTACCTCTTTTTTTTTTTTCTTTGCTAGGCTCATATTGGCAACTTACTGACATCAAAATTCTTCAGTTACAAGGATTTTGATACTTTGTTGTATACCTGTGCGGCAGAGTTTGACTTTATGGAAAAGGAGGTAAGATGTGATTTCTAGGTGTTTTTTTTCCTTAGGTTTTTGGCTCATTCATATTTTAACAGGGTGTTCCCGTTATTTCAGACTCTTAGCTCTCTGTGTTATCTGAGTTTGAAGGAGAGGAAAATCTGGCAGCATAGAGAAAGATGTTCCTATTTATATTAGCAAAGCTCCCTGAAATATGTGATCTTTCTCATTTTAGCAATTCAGAAGCTTGCATTCACACCAGCAGTGGTTTTGTGGATGAGTAAACACAGGCATTTCAAGGTGCTTCTTCTTAGGGGCAGCATTAACTCCGTGAGGCTCAGGTTCTCCATTCCCATGCACTTTGTGGTGGTTTGTGTGAATGATCTCATTGCTTTGAAATATCACTGAGCACACGTTTTTCATTCCAACGACATTTTTCTTTCCAAAACTGTATTCAGATGTTTAGAAGGAAGCCAGAAAGTAGTTTAATGGATTGTGAGACAGAAGCCTGCAGTATTACTTAATGTTCCTGAGCAAGTGACTCTCATTCGTTGTGTCACAGCTACTATTGGGTTGTCGGAAAAGTCATGATGCATTTTTGCAACGAAAAACAGAGAAAAAATACGTCACGACTTTTCCGACAACCCAATAGTTTCCAGTAGTGTGCTACAAACAGAGTGTGAGGGCAAATGAGATACACAGGAAAGTGCTTTGATATTTTAATGATATTTTATATAAAATATTATTTTGCACAACTTTAGGAGCTAGTTTGGTTCAGTCATATATATAGAGGCTGCCCAAAAAATGTCTACACATTTTAAGGAAGGAAAACTGTATTAAAATTGTAATACCCAATATATACCGATAACAAAAGATGAATACAAGTCACTTTTGACTTCTGCAATTACAAGAGGTGCTCAAAGTGGTTCCTGTCAGTGTCCAGACACTTCTGATTATGGCAAGCTACTGCTTGAGCAGCGTTGACCAGTGTCCACTTGAATCCATTTTTTTGGCACCCCCGGTATATGTGTCTTTTTCAAAACCACCCATGTGGCCCTGGTTTGTGATGATATTATGTGTGAAACATTTTCCTTCAGAGCTATGTGTGTGTATGTATTAAACTGGCTAACAATGCTCTGTTGACACATTCACGTTCCCCCTTGACCCCCACTGGACGAGTCCCATGTCTTGAGTGGCAGACCAGTGGATGACAGCTCACCACACGGCAAACTCTCACCAACCAGGTGGCCTGAGCGGGATGTCCCGCAGATGTACCGTTTACTCCAGTGCCCTGTCCATCTCCATTCCCTGTGTCCTGGCTGATGGTTTTGACATGTAGTGGCGGAAAATGCACACGCATGGTAGTGTCGGCCCTGCTGAAAGAAACTGAGGAGGAGTATGCTGAAAGACATTAAAATGCACGTTCATAGCACATATGGACTCCTTTAAGGAAGTATAAGGGAAGTACCGGGTAAACACAGCAGAGCATTAGGGCACAGCAGAAGTTCTTAAAAGATTAATGAGGATATATGTGCCACTACAACCTCAGATTATGAACCGGCAGTTATGTGAGAGAAGAAACTGTTTATTGAGGCACAGCATGACTTCGGTCAATTTGAAGAAAATGGCAGAGCTGTTTCCAGCCTGCCGTTCCCATCCCCATGGGTCTCTTCACAGGGACTGTGCTGTAGAGACGCATTACGGTGCCAGTTCTGAGAGCACGTCCATTGTATGGTACTTGTGTGTCCATACAGTGGTGGGAAGGGAGCAATGGAACATAATGTCTTACTGACACCAAAAGGCGCGTAAGATGTATAATGGAGTGAGCAAAATGGTACGACCTTATTGACCGATAATGAACACACATAGAATAATGTGGAAGAGCAAAATTTTAACAGTGTTTTCTGGGTGGACGGATAATAACTTTTTTTGTAATTTGCATCCTCTAAATTTTCTACAGTCATCATGTATGAAGTGTATTATGCTATTAAAAGAAAATAAAAACATTATGGGGTCATTCCCTTTTAGATATAACAATGGATAGCAACAGTATTTAAAGTACAGGGACACCAAGACAGGAGCATTTTTATGACCCAAAATAGACCATGCTGGGTAGACCCATGTGTACGTTCTTAACTATGTGTGTATGGACTTAAGGTGAAATGAAGAGAATATCACAGATAAATGGATAAAGATGTATTATTTCATGAACATTATTTTAAAAATTGTATTTGGGGTGTGGAGTCATTTTGAAGCCTTGTATCACATTATACACCAGACTTCATTTCAGTAATTAATATGTTAAAAATAAATGAAGCCTGAAAAATAAATTTGAGAGACATTTCAGTGAACAGTAACTTCATTTTTTAATGAGCATGAAACCAGTGCAGAACGCATATGAGAATGATTAATAGATTTGTCGGCATGTAACTTAAAACATCTGTGCATTAAATACTGTAATTCAATTTTCAAAAAATTGAAAAACAGCTGACTAACTGGGATGATTCTTGCCATAAACATAACAAATGAAACTAGAGATTAATGTAGTTAGTATAGGAGCTTGTTTAAATGAATAAAAAAATACCAAGGATTCATCCTTCCCCCTCCATCAAAAACATCCCCATGCTCAGACACGTGCAGAGATGGGTGAAGGATGTGAGCAGCTAATCCACCGGGGAGGAAATGCTCACAGCTGATTAAAATGGGAAATTGATTCTCTCTCTTCTAGTTTTCTGCATTCTCTAGTTGTGTTTTGTGTTTTTGGGTTTTTTTGTAAAGATTTTATTAGGGAATTGGGGGAGGGGAACAGCGTTGGGGAATCAGGGAAGGGGAACAGACAAGTTGCTGTCCTTTTGTTCTTTAGTCTAGTTGTGGAGGAAGTTGCTTCACTGGCCCATGTTGGTATCGTGGTCACTGCGCTCTTCCTGGCTGAGGCAGATCAGTTGCCGGCCATTGGAAGGCCACTCATGGCGACTCACAGCAGCCCAGCTCCAGGTTGAGCTGTTGTTCACCATATTAGCTGTAGAGGGGGCAGCGTCACTGCCCCTCAAGTGGGATCCGAACCGGCAGCCCTGCTGCTCAGAGCTCATGCTCCCAAGCCAACTCTTAACCAACGTGCCACTCAGCCGGCCCTTCATTCTCTAGTTTTTATAATGAGCACATATAACTCATAACATATGCTTAGAATACAATCAAGAATTACAAAGAAATATTAAAATCAAAGAATTTGTAATTATAATAGAACATACACATGCACACACATCTCTCACTGTGGTTTGTTTCCTTTGCATTTGTTCTTGTGCATACATTCTCTCTGGCATACCTTTTGATATTGAGGAAGTTCTATAATTTTGTTTTATATTAATACTTTGCTATATTAACCTTAGTCCATTCCGTTGGTTTCCTACTTGGGGTTATATATGCTGAGCTTAGCTATTCACTTCTTGCCCCTCCCCTTTTCTCACTCATTTCTAATTTATTGTAATACTGTAGTCAGTGACATTATTTTACTTCCTGTATTCTCTTCCCCCTCTAACCCTATTTTTAACACTCCCATTGTGTCTGCAGTGTCCACACATATAACCACTCGCACTGTCCTGGCCCCTTTATTTCCCCATTATTGTCGTAGCTCAGCATTTTAAAAGCTCACTGTGAGCTCAGCTGTTTCTTGGTCGTGTGAAGCTTGCTCTCCAGTGGATTCCTAGGAAGGGTTCATTTACTGCAATAAGCCCTGAGTTTTCACATGTTCAAAATATTTTATCAGTGGCTTTTATAATGAAGGTCAGTTTAGCTAGATACAAAGTTCTTACGTATCTTGCTTGAGCATCTTACTTAAGTTGCTATACTGTCTCCTCGTCTGAAGTATTGCTGTCAAGTCTGATGCTAATCTGATTTTCTCTTTAAGATAAATATTTTTAAAATGTCTTTTAAGTAAACTTTTGGAATATTAAAATTGTTTGAATTCTTGTTAAATTTTGTTAAAAACTTTTAACCCAATTTTGACACATTGCTTTTTTTAAGGTAAACTATATCTTATAACTTTTGGTACATTTATTGTTAGTTTTTATTAGCAAATATCTAATTTTTAAAATAATAAAACAGTTTAAGTTATTGTTGCTTAAAGACATTTTAAATTTTATAAAATACATATGTATTTAAAAATATTAGTACTATGCAAATGTTTTATAAAAAGGTAAATAGGAAGATAAAAACATAAACATTCTCCTTTAGTAGGACTTCTAACACATGAAGTATGCATTTTGTGTAAGAAATTACCAGAATTACTTGTGTAATACAGAATAATAAATGAGAAAATTGGACTAATGAGAGGGAAAATCAGAAAATTCTACTTACTGTATACTTTGTAGAATTAAAATGTACCAGTATTTTTAATATGGTTAAGCTAGATTTATCTTTATAAACATGTATAAATAATACATTATTTGACTTAATAATGTGGGATTATTTTGTAAGGGAAAGTGTTGATGGTAAGCAAATCAATTGCCATTTAGATACTTTCAGGATTGCTTAAGACTGTGACCTCAAATTATTGATAGGTGGTTAGGATTGTAATGCACAGAACTTTGTTATTTAAAATTTTTCTGTAATTTATCTGTTACTAAAGAAAATGTAAAAATGTTTTTATTCGTGTGTGTGTGTGTGTGTGTGTGTGTGTGTGTGTGTGTGTGTATCATGGGATCATGGTTAAGATTTTTATACCCTAAAAGATGTGCAGGAAAAGCTCATGCGATTTAAAGTTCTTTTTGCTAACCTTATGAATATCAAGTTGGGCCTCCTGGTTAGGAAAGTAGTGTGCAAATGTGAACAGTAATCTCTCTAGTCACATTTTACACTTCCAAGTGTTTGGGGAACTGTATTTATTAGTGTTTTCAACTCAGCATTTTGGGGAAGTTTGTTTCTATGGAAATGCAACTTCATGTTTATGATGGGAGTCAGTGGTTAGATCGGACCCTAGAAGGGTGAATGTTTCTCTATTTATACTTTAAAAAATTCACTTGGTTCATTATTTGAAATGAAATTTTGTGACTTTAAAATGACGTGTTACTCTAACAGAACATCTCTGAATTCCAGACTCCACTGAGATACACGAAGACGTTGCTGCTTCCGGTGGTTCTCGTTGTGTTTCTTGCGATTGTTAGGAAGGTATGTCTGTCCCTTAGGAGCTTTCTTATAATAAAGCATTTTCTTGTTTCTACATAGCAGTTACGTATACGAGGCTCTGTGTTAACCTGACACAATATTTTGCATACATTTAGTGGAGCATATTCTGTATTTTCTTGCTAGTAGCCTTTGATGAACATTTACAAGCTTTAAAAATATTCTGCTATCTGCTAGCATAAAATAGACATAGGGAAAGGATGGCTCAAATTTTGGTAGTCATGTATTTGAAAGACATGATCAGAGACCCAGATATAGTTGTTTTTTGCCTATGTAAATTATTGCTGACTTGCTTGTAACCTTATGTAATATTTACCTAAAATATTTACTATATGCCCTCCTAAATCATTTGTGCAGTGTTCGCTAACTCCTGGATCGAGGTTATTATTAATCAAAAGAAAAAAATAGAATATTAACAATACATTATTAAACTCAGTGAAATGGTTAGCCTTCCAACTTTGCTTTGATAATGAAACTCGAAGGCCGGGGAAGTTGCAATCTTTTGCAGAGAGCAGGAGTGGTAGTCTCTTTTTTCTTTAATAGTTGGTGAACTCTGTAACTGCAGGTGCCATAAGAGACTGAATTGAGATTAATCTGTAATTGAAAAATATTGGGTTGTCGGAAAAGTCATGACGCATTTTTGCAACGAAAAACAGAAAAAAATACATCATGACTTTTCCGATAACCCAATAGATGACAGACCCTAAAAGTTTTTTGATTCGTAGCTAGTGATTTCTGTGTGAACACAGTGTCATATATTTATAGAATATCCTGTACTATGATTATCGTTCACATTTATATTTGTACTTTCCCAAAATGTCTCATATGCATTATTTCAATTGGTTATTCGACAAACTTATGAGGTATACACACACATTATTATCCCCATTTTCACAGATGCAGAATTGGAAGATCAGAGAAATTGTTACCAGGCTCAGAGCGTGTTCATTAGAAAGCAAGGGAAGAGCAAGAATCAGACTCTGAAACGTCCCCCCGCCTTGTACCATATTGGGCTTTGTACCGTATTCAGCTTTGTAGTCTCAGCCCTTTTCAAAACTAGTCAGTTTACGGATAGTCAGTGTCTGCTGTATGCCAGGCTCTGTGCTTCCTTTGCACTCTTGCATACTCTGTGTGGGTATGCACCTAGGAGGTAATAAAATACTAGATGTTGGCAGTCCAGAATGCATTAAAAAGACAGCAACCTGGATGGCTAGAGATGACGAAAATTATTAGATTGGGTTAAAGAAGCAGGGATGTTTGATTTAAAAAAAGATTCAAGTGGAAAGAGGATAATTATTTTCACATTTAAAATACTGACTATTTGGAAATAAGGTTACACTCATTTCGGCTCCTTAGAATTGTGGTCAATTCCAGGAGGCGGGACTTTTGACCAGAACTGACCTGGACTGATTAGGAATGTGTCCTAGAGTCTGGCAGCGGTTGGTTGGGCCTTCTAAGAGCTGAATTAAAACCTGTCAACATGTCATAGAGGACATCATAGTGGGGATAGGACTTCATTAGATGACCTCCCCATGACTGTTAAGTGTGGAAACACAATGGTAGCCGGCTGTGCTCCTGGGTCTCTGGGCCAGCTCTCCAGTTACCTGCGTCCAGAATCAAGGAGAGGCCTTGCCGACAGCCATGCCGTGCTGGGATTCACTGACTGTGGATCAGAAGCCGAGCAGCCAGGTTTCATGACCCAGCAGTGCTGCTTCGTTGCTGTCCTCCTCCAGGGAGATCATTGAATTCATCGGAGCCTGTAGCTCATTTACAAAATGAGGAGAATAACATCCACCTGGACAGGGTTGATGGCTAGGAGGTGTGATCAAGTACTACTCTACACATTTAAGATTTTGTGGTTGCAATTATTATTTTCTGGGTTACCTCTTATCTCCATATAAGTAAAAATTTGAAAGTTTAGAAGATGCTTCAGTTAAAATTTTGCTTTTCCTGAAACACCTCTTCTAAAGTGTTTAAAAATCTGTTTGCAGATTATTAGTGACATGTGGGGTGTCTTAACTAAACAACAGACGCATATAAGGTAAATATGCTATTGATTTTATTACTTTGTCCATTTATGAAGCAGATATTTCCAATGTGTTATTTATAGTTTTATATTATATACTCAACATTCGATAATTGATGTTTTCTGTTGTTGTCATCCCCCTTCTTTGCTTTTCTCATTTCTCGCCTGTGCAGAGCTTAGCACATCACTTCCTCATACCTCAGATCCCATCCAGCACAACCTGACAGCAGCCCTGCACATAGTCTGCACTTGTAGGGTACAGCTTTGTGCTTCTGTTTAGCAGGGCAAATAAATTATTCTGTTGATGGCTTTAGGACCAGTGGGCTCTCTTTTGAGAGAAGAGCAGGGAAGTATAAAACTGGATCCACACCTCACTTTTTACACAAAATAAATTCCAGATGGAGCAAAGATTTAAATATAGAAAAAAATGAAACCTCAAAATTAACCAAGAGACTATTTCTATGATTTTAGGGTTAGAGAGGCCTTGTAAAGTATGACATAAAACCTGTAAGCTAGGTGGAGAGATTAACAAGGTTGACCAGATAAACACTTAGGTTTGGTAAGATGCTATAAGCATTGTTCAAAGAGAAAGACAAATTTATCATGTATTTGTAATATATGACAAAGGACTGATGACCCTCATATATAAAGAACTATAAATATATAAGAAAAATGCTAAAAATCCATTAGAAAAATGAGCAAAGGACACAAACAGACAGGTGAGAGAAAAATAAGTTCTTTCCCCTCTCGCGCTCCGCTCTTGTCCTGTGACCGTCTTCCTGCCCTTGAGTATGGACGTTGTTTCCTGCCTCTGCGTTTGGCCGTGGTTGTGCCCTAAGCCTGTAACTGTGCCCCGCGTTCCCCACAGCCTGGCCCTTCGCATCGCTGACTCCGTCAATCCTCACGTACATGCCACCTCCTTCAAGTAGCCTTTCCCGACCATAATCTCTGAGTGGATTGCTTGTCTCCTTGCTTATGCTCCACCATCACACACTTTTTCTCTCAGCATTTATCACCATTTATACTTAAGTACTATAGCCCCTGAAGGGAGGGGTCTTTGTTTGTTCAATTCAGTATTTGTGTTTGCCACGCCTGGCACATAGTAAAGCATAGTAATTGAATGAATGAAGATTTACGCACAACTAATAGATATGAAAAAGTGCCTAATCCCACGGTAGAGTGAGAACCTTTGTACTTACCACGTTTGTAAAGGTGAGTAATACCCACTGCGTGCAGGGTGGGAGGAAGTAGTTGGGAGCGTAGTTTGGCAATACAGAGCAAAACGTAAAGCAGGCCTGCCTTTTAACCTGGCACTTCCACCAGTGCAGTTGTGTCCTCTGAGCATGCTCACAGAAATGCAGAGCTGCCCATGGTGGTGTTCTGTGTAATCTGAAAAATGGAAACAATCAAAATATCCACTAAGAAGGTTTGCTCTAACTATGACCCAATCATAGAGTGGAATGCTGGGCCATGTTTATGGAAATGTTTTCATCATACAGCATTGAATAAAAAAAAAAATTACAAAACAATATATAGAATGATTACATTTTTGCTTAAATATGAAGATTTTTGTATGTTTATTTGTGTGTAGGAAGGATCTGAAAAGATAAAACCTGTCACAAGAGCATGGGGTTGAAGGATGGAGTAAAGGAAGTTTTAATTCTTTCATTCTTTGGTTGAATTTTTTTGGGGTATAGAGATTGTTGAATTTATGTGTCTATATTTTCTTTTATGACTTGAATACACACAGCCTTCTATATTATTCTCCCACCTACAGATTGCTACCAGCCAGTAATAAATTATTGCATGCACCTCTGACACAATCCTTGTTCTCATTTAGAAACAATTTGCTATAACTGTGCCCTTGTTTATAACTGCAGCCTTTGGGGGCTGGTGTATGATGCCAAAATTTCTCTTTATTTGAGATGACATTGTTTTCTGAATTGCCTGGAAAGGGGCTATGAAGTTACAACAGTAGTATGCAGCTCTGGAAGAAAAAAGTTGAACTTTTCATGAAAATAAAGCTGTCCTTTCAAGAATAATCGAACTGTAGAAATAGTTATAGAAAACCACTGAACTTCCTGGGGGTTGCACTTCAAGTGGGATCAGAACTTTATTCAAAGGAAGATGGCACACTGATATTTCATTTTGCACAAGTACCAAAGTCATATGCCAATATGAAAAGGGGAGGGGTAGGAGGTACACTTTAATGATCCAGATGGGACTACCAGCATCCTCTTCATCCCAGGACCTGAGGGTAAAGTAGGAGAGAGGCAGCATGCTATAGTAGTAGAAAATCCATTGGCCTTGTAATCAGTCAAAATAAAGAGTTGGCATTTCCACTTGGTAGCTCTGTGACTTGCTTTCCTCTGCGGTAAATATGGATAATAAATAGTTGTTAGGTCAGAGTTTATGGGATGTTCTGAGCATATTCACATGTAGGTGCTCAATGAATGGTAACTGATCATTTTTACTTGGCATGAAGGAAGAGTAAGAAGAATCCATTTTACTTCCTTCATTTGCCTCATTTTTTTTTTTTTAAGATTTTATTGGGGAATTGGGGGAAGGGAACAGTGCTGGGGAATTGGGGGAAGGGGAACATACAAGTTGCTGTCGTTTTGTTCTTCAATCTAGTTGTGGAGGATGTTGCTTCACTGGCCCAAGTTGGCACCATCATTGCGCTCTTCCCCTGTCTAGGCAGATCAGTCGCCAGCTTCTGGACGGCCGCTCACTGCGGCTGCTGGCCACACATGGTAGCCCATGGCAATCCGCATCTTAGCTGTAGAGGGCAGTGTCACTGGCCCTCATATGCGGGATCCAAACCAGGGCCCTCTGGCGTCCCAAGCCAGCTCTTAACAAACGCACCACTCGGCCGGCCCCATTTGCCTCATATTTTTACTGAGTTTGTTAATATATCAATACTTTTAAAAGCAAATTCTCAACTAAGATCATGTGCTACCTGGATTAGGAGTTAATTGACTCATTTATTCATTCATTCAAAAAATAAAAAATTGAGCTCTATGTGCCAGGCATTGTTCTAGGTCTTGGAAATTCTGGGGGTGCCAAAAAAATGTATATACATTTTAAGAGATGTTATCTATGCTCAAGCAGTAGTTCACCGTAATCAGAAGTATCTGGACGCTGATGGTTACCACTTTGAGCACCTCTTGTAATTGCAGAGGCAAACGTGACTTGTATTCATCTTTTTGTTATAGGTATAAATTGAGTATTACAATTAATACAGTCTTTTCTTAAAATGTGTATATATATATTTTTTTGGCATTCTCTGTATATCGGTACTTAAGATACAGAAGGTATATGTTATCAACTCACACGTTTGTACCTCTGACCCAGACTTCGTCCTTGAATTCCAGATTTATACCTGTGACCGCCTGTTTGTCGTCTCTACTTCAATGCCTAGTGAGAATTTCCAATTTTGTGAACACAGAATGGACCTCTGAGTGTTCTGTGGCTGTTCCTGGGCCCACATGGGACCACCATCCTCCCCCAAGCCCTCTCCTCTCTAACCCTGCTGTCCTGGTTGAGAGCTGCCCTTGTACCCTGGGGCTTTGCATCATCTGTCCTCTGCCCTTCTCAGAGGGATGCTTAAGCTCACACTCTCAGCTCCTTCAGACCCTGCTCTAGTGTCACTCATAGGTGACAGCGCTGATGAATCTGTGCCTTCCGGGTCAAACAGCACTCCCTCCATTTTTACTCCACAGTACTTACCACTATATGACATGTTTATTTACTTGCTTTCTGTCTCTTTTGACTTCTGTATAAGCTCTGTGAGGACAAAGGGTTTTTTCCAACTTGTTTACAGTTATTACCTCCAGGGTCGTCAGAGCTCAGTGAAATTGACCAGATGGATGGATTTGTACTCCGTACTCCAAAAGCATTCATTTTAGTAGGGAGAGACGGATGATGATCAATAAACCAATAAATGAAAATACCATCTTCTGTGAGAAGAGAAAATGGAAGTGGAGTAGAAGTGATCAAGGAGGGGGGCACTCCTGTGGGAGTCGGGAGCCTGGCGACCGAGGGGGGACGTTTCAGGATGAGAAGTGGGGACCAGCTTAGGAAGATGGTGTGTAAGGATTCGAGACTTCAGTCTACTTACAGAAGAGCCCGTTAGAGGGGTTTTAAGTAAGGGAGTAGCATGGCTGGAGTCGCGTTTTCAAAAGCTCGCTCTCACTGCAGCGATGAGAAGGGATGGGGGAGGGCCAGTGTGAGATGCGAGGAGATAACAGGCCTCTAAGCATGTATCCTTTCTCAGGAAATTAAAACTGTCAAGAAAGCTAAAGATGGGATTTTTCTACATTCCAGAGCTGCTGCTGAAAAAACCTATGTGGCTTCCTAAACTGTCTCCATAGCAGCTGCAGTTTATCAGGGAGCTGAGGGACCCCTAGGATGGGAAGCAGGGGTTGGGGACTGCGAAGGTTTCAGAGTTCCCCTTCACTCCCTGCTTTGCCAGGATATCACCAGTGAGGTAGCTGGTGCACCACAGTGAGCCTTTTGCTGGCCTGATAAATATCTGTGTAGTCTAATATGAAGAATATGCAACATTGTCACCTGTTCCGGGTAAACTGTCTTAAAAGATTGTAACATCAGTTTGGGTTTATAATTGTTACTTACTTTGATTTACATATGTGTGTCCTGAGGGACTATTATAGAAGTTGTAAGACAAAAATGCGAATAATTGAAATAAGTGCTTCAACAATGGTTTAATAGTAGTATTTATTTCTCCGTTTCAGAAAACACCAGTTTGATCATGGAGAGGTAAAGACATAATATTACTCAAATTTACCTTATTTTCATGTTTGTATATATGTGGACTTTTCTTTCGAGTTCCAGTTTCTAAGTGTATTGGTAATCGTCACTAATCATCTTCAAAAGAAGCCTGCATATATTCTTATGAGAACGCTACAAACATGACCCTTCATTTGTTAAAACAAGTAGGGAACTCATTGGGTCTGCTCTGCTCATCCCCACTGTAATAGCAGTTTATTTCTGGAGCCCGTTTAGACGCATATGTGGATTGTCTTTTGCATGGTTGGCGATAACTGTCCTCTCTGCTCACCTTGCCTGAGGCTTCGGATATGACTGGTGGCTGCTACCATCGCTGATGACTCAGCCTGCTTTTTTCTTGTTCCCTTCTTTTAATTGAGGTATAATGGACACACGTAACATTATATTAGTTTCATAATGATTTGAATTTGTATACATTGCGAAATCATCACAATAAGTCTAATTAACATCCGTTACCATACTTAATGACAAACATCATTTTTTTCTTCTGATGAGGACTTTTAAGATTTACTCTCTTAACAACAGCGTGTAACTATAGTTAATACTACAGTATTGCCTATTTCAGTCTGGTTTTGATGGCTGTTCCCAGGTGGAGCTCTGGGGTCTTAAACAGCAGTTATTCCTGGTTACCACGTTCCTGTCTTGATCTCATGGGAGTTTCAGAAATGTGGGCTTCATTGACCACAGGCTGGGCTCTGAGCAGAACTGCAGGACCATGGCCTTCGTGACCTTATAATGTCAGCCCTCTAATAAAATGCAGGAGTTTGAAAGTGAATTTTAGGACTTATTTCAGAAATCAAAGTATTGTTACGAAGAAAAAGTACCCTTTTCTGTATAGTCACTGTTTTAACAATATAGTCTTAAACTTCACAAGTAGTAGGAGTAAAAAATACCTTTTTTTTTTCCAGCTGGTTTATCACGCATTGCAACTGGTAGCGTACACAGTCCTTGGTATTTTAATAATGAGACTGAAACTCTTTTTGACACCACACATGTGTGTGATGGCTTCCTTGATCTGCTCAAGACAGGTAATTACATTGGCGTTATAGCTGCTATAATAATTTTAATTTTTGTTATGGAGTGACCCTAAAATAATATTGAATTACCCAAAGTTCATTAAACTGTTATAAAGTTTTGTGCTAATCTTTCCTAAGGGGTCAAGGTGAATATTTTCTATTTTTCTATAGAGTCCTTGACATACAGCAAACACTCAGTGCAGCCTGAATTCATAAATGATTACTATAAATGTTGATAGAAAACAGAGCTTAATTATAGAAATAATTTTTTGTTTTGACATTCATGTCACAAAGAATTCTAACAACTGATTTCAAGTGACAGATACTTTTAAATTATATGTTCTTTTTCAGTATTAAACTTCAAAAATTAGTTTTCATTTATTTGAGTATACACTTCTATGCGCATCCCTGACTTTGCTTTTTTTTTTTTTTTTAAAGATTTTTTTATTGGGGAATTGGGGGGATGGGAACAGTGCTGGGGAATTGGGAAAGGGGAACAGACAAGTTGCTGTCGTTTTGTTCTTCAATCTAGTTGTGGAGGATGTTGCTTCACTGGCCCAAGTTGGCACCATCATTGCGCTCTTCTCTGGCGAGGCAGATCAGTCGCCGGCTTCTGGACGGCCGCTCACTGCGGCTGCTGGCCGCTCACGCTGGCTGCTGGCCACACACGGTAGCCCATGGCAATCCACTGCCACAGGGATTGCAGCCCACGCCGTCGCCGGCGACTCACGGCAGCCCAGCTCCAGGTTGAGCTGTTGTTCAGCATCTTAGCTGTAGAGGGCAGTGTCACTGGCCCTCATATGTGGGATCCGAACCGGGGCCCTCTGGCATCCCAAGCGAGTTCTTAACCATCGCGCCACTCGGCCGGCCCTGACTTTGCTTTTTAAACTTAGCTCAAACCATCTTGGTTATTTGCTGCTTGTTTGTCCCGGGTAACTGCCTCCTTGCTCTGTGTTCACAGATTCATGCATCTACATAGTGTCACCTTTTCATCAGTCAACCAGCCAAGGTGCAGCCGCTGCCCCTCTTTTAAATTTAGCAAATATTTACTAAGCATCTAAACCTCCCTAAAGGATGAGGGTAGAGTGGTAGATAGAAAAATTTAGAAGCAAAAGTTTTTACATATGTCCCCAAGAAGCTTCAAATCTAGCTCTACAGACATGTAGAGAAATAATCTTGAGAGAGTGATGGAGACACTGTTATTATTAATTTTTCTATATCATTGAATATGGAAAAAATTAGCCAGCCTCAAGGCTCCCAAGTAGCATGTTGTTATGTTAGAGACGCACCACTTTCTGGGCTGATCCGAGGGTGAGGCCACCATTCCCAGCTCATCCAGGCCTGGGCAGGAAAAGAGGCTGGTTGGAAGCTTCTCTTCCTAAATCCCACCTGCAGTGTGACTGCTGACGGTGGCTCCCCAGGCTGGCCTCACAGGTGGAACCCCTGTGTGACAGGTGCCCGCCCTGAGAAGGACCCTGTACCCAGCACAATGCTCTGCCATTGCTGCTTTGAATTTCTTACTAATTTTAGAACAAGGGGCCCCACATTTTCGTTTTGCAGTGGGCCTGGTGAATTATGTAGGTAGGCCTGGCCTCACCTGAGTGGGAGTTGCAGAGAGCAAGCTGGGGAAGAGCTTCTGAGATCATGTCCCGCTTGTATAAGGCTGAGGGCAGCATTCTTTTGACTCCTGGGGTCACAATTTCTGGAACTTTTCCTTTGGGTAATTAATATGAGACCCTAGCAGAGACCATGTTCTTCTCGCTTTGATTATTAGACACGTGCTGCTTGTTATTAACAATTATCAATGTATTTTGGATTTGGTTTCAGCTGTTCGGATGGCTCTTTTGCAAAGTACATCCTGGTGCTGTTGTTTTTGCTGTATTAGCAGCCATGTCAATACAAGGTTCAGCAAATCTACAAACCCAGTGGAATATTGTAGGGGAATTCAGCAATTTGCCACAAGAAGAACTTATAGAATGGATCAAATATAGTACCAAACCAGGTAAAAGAAAGTATTATTTAGATGATGTTTTTCCCAAATTTTATATACCACTGCAAAATACTAAACCCAAGTAACTTTCAATGATTTTACTCTTTCTAATTAGTATTGCTTCTAGATTATCCAGAAAAAGAGAGATGTCAATCTTACTTAAGTGGTTTGCAAAGGAAATGTTATACATGTTTTCTTAGTAATTAATTTTGCTATTTTCCACAAATTCTAATTTTTTTAAGGTTTTACATGCCACAATTTAAAATAACTTTTATGCTTATTTTCTTCATGAAGTTTGAATCATAGTCCTTCAAATTTCTTCTTGAAATAAACTCATGGAATCTTACATTTATTCATGTTTGGAAAGGGAGATTTTGTTGTCATTCGAGTATCAGATGACTGGATATTAAATCGCCCTCCAGAATTCTGTGGTTCTATGAAACTTTCTTAGTCAATTTGATGCTTCTTTCCTAGAGTCAGGAAAGATTTCCAAGATCTTACAAAAAAAAACAAAACCAAAAACCAAAAAGAAAATAAAACAAAAGAAAAAAATCAAAAACCAAAACCCAGGGATTCTCATTGGCAAAATGGCGAGGCTCTGTCCCCCGAGGAAAATGCAGTAGCGCCCAGGCTTGGTTGCCGGCTGCTGCTTGGTCAGCCATCAGTCTCCATTCTGGTTTTGCCACCGGATCTTGACGTCATGAACCTCTCTGGGCCTCAGCTGTTCCACTGCGATGTAACAGCTGACCAGAAGGAGACCCTTGTCACGCTCACACGTGTCCTCCTGAGACCTTGCTCCCTGCTTTGCAGACGCGGTGTTTGCCGGCGCTATGCCCACGATGGCGAGTGTTAAACTGTCCGCACTCCGGCCCGTTGTCAACCATCCGCATTATGAAGATGCGGGTTTGAGGTTAGTGCACAATTCTCACGTTGCTGAAAACAAACTTTTCCTACAAATAGTGAGTGCGGGAACCAGCAGCATGCGAGAAGTGTTTCAAAAAGGATATGGTGAGTTGGGATTTATAGGTAGGGAGGAACGCTGAAAGAAGATGCTAAGTTAGGCACAAAACTGTGAAGTCTCCACGGGGCAGTAAAAACTCCGCGCCTTGGGGTCATCTCTACCGGGCAGCACACAGAAACCACACCGTCTCGGTTTTGTGCAGGTTGACAGGGCTGCCTGGTGGTTCTCACCACCCTCAGGTGCCCTGAAGATTCATGAGCCTGTGGTTTCTAGTAAGGCAGCTTATGGGCCATTTTTTTTGCATTCTCAGGAGTCAATTGAAATGGAATAGCATTCAAGGAGGGTTTTATTCTGTCTTTCACAAACTAACCTGCTAGAATGATCATGTTTTTTGTTTTTTACTGTTTTTTTCATAAACATGTAAAATATATTCTCTTTGAAAAGGAAATAGACTTAATTTTCATGCAATTTCTAGTGTAGGTCAACTTATTAATTTCCTAAGTAACTGGGTGAATCCTGTTAATATAGTCTTTTGGCTAATGGTGGGACATGCATTTTATAAATAAAAAGCTTTTTCATTAAAAAATCAATTTCGGAAAGGTAATTTCCAGTGCAATTATATTGAACAAATTTAGCTTTTTAAAAGTCTTGGAATAAAATGGAGAGCCATTTAATGCCAATTACCGTTGGTATCAAAGCTGGGGCCATTTAATGTGGTCCTGTAGTTGTGTTTGCGTAGCTCATCCCGTCCACACACAGGACCGTGCTCTTATTTGTGGTAAATAAGATAAAGTGATGAAGAATTTAAAATAAAAACAAGCTGAAAAACAAACAGACCAAGTGTGGAAAGGAAGGGCTGCATGAAATCGCTGTGCCACTTCTGCCTTTCTTTTGACCCCCCCGTGCCCCCCGGCAGGACTCGGGGGACCTTCTGTGTGTCATCCTCCAGCCCCATTCAGCGCGTTCTTCTAATCTTAACAACCTTCTGCCCAATTGTTTCTCTTTAAAGAGCCAGGACGAAAATAGTGTACTCCATGTATAGTCGGAAAGCAGCTGAGGAAGTGAAGCGGGAACTGATCAAGTTACAAGTGAATTATTACATTCTAGAAGAGTCGTGGTGTGTGAGAAGATCTAAGTGAGTATTCCACCCAGTTACTATTTCACATTCATAGGACATGAAAGGGTCACTCAGTCTCGTGGCAAGTGCTTTCCTAGTCGTGTTTGTGGGACGTAGGTAACATTTAGCAAAGTGTAAGTGGACAAAACTTTAGATAATCATTTGGAGTTTTTTTCTTTTCGAGTTGTTATAAATACCTGGTTTCTTTCGTAGTGATTTACAGATGTACACTGCATTCAGGGTATTATGTTGGCATGTATTGGTAATTTCCCAAAGAATTCATGTTTGCCTGTGATGTTTTCAAAACCTTTTATTTCAAGATGGGATGTATTTTCTTTCAAAAGACTTGTGGAGTCTGAGACCAAATAGCGGAGAATCTCGTTAGAATGAAATACGTTAGGCCTCTGAGAGTCGGGGCCTCCTTTGTCCATAACCACAGCCCTGCACCAGCCCCACTGTGTGCTGGGATGGGCAGACCCTCCCCGCAGCTGCTTAGAGTGGAACTTCCTCCTTGCTGTGTCACATCTTATTTGAGTGGGGAAATAATTAACTTCACTCTGACCCATGATCTCTTGGGTTTATAGTTTTAAAAAGTACCTATTTCCACATAGAAGTTCACTAAACAGAGTGTAGCAACAAGAGTGAGTAAGATCTTAAAAGCTAATGTGAGTTCTGAAGTTGACTATTTAGAAATGTTGCGACTGGGTGACTAGACGGCAGATTGCTATGTAAATACCAAAGCATTTACTCCACATGAACATTTTCATCAGAAATCAAGATATTTTATGGAATGCTATTTTAAAAAGCCTTGCTGTTCTTTAAATAGAAGCCTTTAGGAGGTTGCTGTGTCTGTGGCTTAATCATATTCATTCACCATGTACTTCAATGATACACAAGGGTGTTGATACAAAATATTAAATATTGACTCAGGGGTAAAAATAGTTCTGTGACTCAGTATCAGCAGTGCCCACAAGGAAACTCAAACAATGATTGATTGTTGAATAGTTTTCTGTGAATATGTCCCAAGTGACTTGAATTTAATCAAGAGCTGTAGAAAAATGTTATTGTTCTTAGAGTCATAATTTAGAAAATGCTGTAAGTCCTTTGAATATAGGAATATATATAAAATTCATATACTCACCTTTAAGGAACTTCGCTGTGTTAAAACATTAGGACAAAGAAGCTGTAAGCATCTCTCATAACAGTTTTAGGAGGACATGATAATGAATGAAGGGTGGGCTGACAGCTGCCATCCGAAGAACTGAGCTTCTCGGCAGAGATCTCCAGCAGTGCTGAGACCTGCCGTATTGCCTGGGCCTCGGCCTCCAGTTGAGGGCTGCCAGCCTGGCACAGCTGTCGCTTTCCGGAACAGAAGAGTGACATTCCCTGACCTTTCCCGTCCAAGCTAATGATGAGCCTGGTTCACAACTCTTGGTTTTTTTGTGTTTTTTTCCCCTGGACCCTTGCCTGGTATTTTGAATATGTGAAAATGGCAGAGGCTAGAGTGCTTTACATTCCAAGACGTTGAGAGAACTCCTAGGATTTGCATAGCTGGCAGTCCCGTGTTCTGCCGGCAGAGCACTGTTTTTCTGTACATAAGAAGGGATACAAGGCAGCTTTTGGAAGGTGACAGGAAAGCTTGCCCGGGAAACACAGTCAGCCGCGAATGAGCTGGCCTCGGACCATCTCCCTCCCGATAGAGCTCGCTTACTGCACTGAGACGGAGAGCTGGGGTGCGGTGGGGGTGCTGGGTCCCCCCACCGGGGCTTCGACTTGCCCTTGTGTGTGTTCCAGCTGGAGTGGAGGAGGAGGAAGCTAAGGGAGCGACTAAAACAACACTCCACCTTCCACAGGATTTCAGCCGGATGATGATAAATCTTAGGAAACCTTAGGCAGGTGCCCTGCGCTGAAACCTCGAGACAAAACACACGCTGTGCTTTCTGCTCTGAAGGAAGCACATGGGGAGCTCCGATAGGGAGGAAAGGAAGAAAGGCCAGTACTCAGCGCCTGCGTTTGCGGGAGGAAGCGCTGAGTTCCTCGATGGAGCTTATACCACATTAGGCTCTGTATTGCTCTGGCCCTCACTCCGCAGTGAGTTCGCGCCAGCCTGCGGCACCTGCGTGCTACTGGGACAGAAAAAGATTTCGGAACAGGAGCAAATGAGGGACCACGCAGGACAGGAAAGGGAAGATGGACCAGTGTTTATCTTGGGCTTGCACTGCGCCCGGCACTTTGATGAGCACTGTATCTGTGTGAGCTCCTTTACAAGTGTGTTAATTGGGTGGCTTCATTAGTCCTTAAATACTCGACACCCTGTGTTCAAATATAAGTATGAAAATACACTCAAATGCAAGTTGTAGATGGGCTTTTAATTAACTACTCTTTTATTCTCAGTTCTCTGCTTTCTTTCTCATTAATCCCAATAATAGAGTTGACATAAAATTAAAATACATGAATTCAGAAGACAATTATTCAGGTTTTCACTAATGCTGTTTAAAGATGTGGCTGGCTGGTCTGGGGAAGCTTCAGGAAGCTCAGAAGGATTAGAGGATGCTACACTCAGGCAGATGAGCTCACAAGGCAGGTTCACCCTCTCTTTTTCCTGACAGCAATTGAACCCACGAGCTGGGCAGTTTTCTATTTCCTGTATGTTTCACTTTCTGCTGCCGTTGGCCGGCAGTGTAGTAGCAGTTTGGCCTTGGCATGTGTGAGAAAATTAAAAGGTCGAAAACCCAAGCCCCATCCTGTCATACGTGTTCAATGTCAGTAGACTCGGTGGTAGGCAGGGTGTGCAAAAAATGTGCACCGAGCACTCTTCATGGGAACCCTTATTGGAAAAACTTTTTTGGGAGATAATTTGACAGAGGCAGAATGAAAATTGTGTAGTCTTTTGACAGAGCAATAGAGCTGCTTTTAGAAGTTTAGCTTGCAGAACGGTATGTGACGCTTAGACACAAAAGTGTTTATGTAAGCCTTGTTTTATAAGAGTAAAATGGGAAACAATTAAAAAATCCACCCATAAAAGAGTGGTTAAATAATACATAGGCATACTAGCAACAATTAGAAAGAATAAAGTAGGTCTATATGTACCGAAGAGAAAAAGGGCCACGTTTTATTTTTCAGTGAGAAGACCCAGAATAGCCTCATTTCTGTAAAAGCAGCCCAGAGCATCTGTGTATGTCTGTGCCTGTATTTGTATGTGTGTGTCTGAAAGTGGATAAAAAAGGCCTAGCAGAATGTATGTTGGATTTTCACACAAGTCACCTCTAAGAAATGGCACTGGAGGGGTGGTGTCTTTCGTTTTTTTATTTTGATAGGCCTGTATTTTGACACTTTTTGGATTAGTTACCTTTAAATTAAACATGTTACTTACATGGAGAAAGCATGTGCTTTTCTGCGATAGTGTTTGCCTCTTGGTAGAAAGCGGGGAGGGGAATTTGCCATTGGGATACAAGGGACTTGCTGGGAATGGTTTTTCTCTTGTAAAAAAAAAAAAAAAAGTGAGGCAACTATGATAAAACATAAGCAGTTGTCAATTCTCTATAGTTTTTCCTGATATTTTTCTGTTTGTTTTTAAATTTCCCAAAAAGCAAATAAGAAATTGTGAACTCTTTTCACCTATTTCGTTTTTACTGATATTTTGGAGGAGTCCAGGTCAGTTGTCCTGTGAGAATGTCTCAGGGGTGGATTTGCCTAATTCATGCCTCATGGTTAGATTCAGTTTGGCAAACCTGGACAAGAATACTACATGGGGGGTTGTGTACTTCCCATTACGTCACTTCCGAGGCACGCTTCACTTTGTTCTGTTATTAGTGATGCCAAGTTCGAATCACTTGATTCAAATATGTCTCTCCGTTTTAAGAAGACAGATTTCTTTTATAATGAATAAGAAGCCTATAGAGTGATACTTAGAGGCCATTGGTTTATCCTGTTTTTCAGTAGCCTTTCACCAGGTGGTTCTTGCGTCCAGTTGTATTCTTGCCTGAATCTGTTATTACATCAGTGATTATAAAGTAGGCAACGTAGATTAGGAAGTAAGTAGCACTTATCTGATTAGTGGAGGTAAGGATGGATTTGATAAATAATAATAAATCATAAATGGACCTAGGGCTGTTGGGCTATCTATGTGGAAAACATTAAAATTCAATCTCTACCTCACCCCATACTGAAAAAGTAACTCCAGATGAGTTACCAGTCTAACGGGAAAAGCAAAACGCTGAAACTTTCAGAGGAGCATACACAATGCATATTTTGATGATATTGTGTTGGGAAGAATTCTTTAAATGAGACATAAAAATCATAAGCCCTAAAAGACTGACATTTTAGAGTATACTAACATAAAAATTTTCAATTTAACAAAAGCCAAAAAAAAAAAATTGTGAACCCTAGCAAAGGCCAACAGTTACATTTATAAAACCGTTCTAGATTTAAAGTAAATGTTATAGTTACCTTGAAGAACTGATTTGGGCAAATATCACATAATACCGATTTTACTTCTTTAAAAAAATATATTATTTTTAAGAATTATGCATTTAGTTAAGATGTAAGCTTAACACTACTGGATTTTCTTTACATTGACTCATTTTGGCATACAGTTAATAGGAAGTTGCATAAATATGAACTAAGTATAGCTGCCAATTATAATTTTTAAAACTAATATATGTACTGGGCACGATGCTAGATACAGTCTCTCTCAGTCCTTGGAGCGCAGCTGTGTCATGGGCGTGTCCCATTTAATTAACGTGGAGAGTGAGAGGGAGTCAGCTATCCAACACCACGTCCTTGGCAAGTAGCTGAGGCAGCATTTAACCGAGATCTGTTTTTCCTGAATTCACCTGTTTTGTAAGCCTGTTTCTTTCTTTAGTGTCATCTTTGCTGCATTCACCTTGTTCTAAAGATGATTTAAGGCAGCTTACATAAATATAAATAACTAGGAAAAGAGTTTTGAAAAACTAAGTTAATTTAAATAGAAAAACATGAAACGAGGGCAGGAATATAAAAACAGTGCCCTGCTTTCTCCGCCATTATATAACGTATGTGGGTTTTTAAACTGTGCATCCCTTTCTGCAGGCCTGGTTGCAGCATGCCTGAAATCTGGGACGTGGAAGACCCTGCCAACGCCGGGAAGCCTCCCCTGTGCAGCCTCTTGGTGCAGGACTCCCAGCCTCACTTCACCACCGTCTTCCAGAACAGTGTTTACAAAGTCTTAGAAGTTATAGAAGAGTGACTGCTGCCACAGAGAACCGCATCAGTAATGGTTTTCATGTTTTGCTAATAACTCATGCCTTGTTTTTAATCCAAATCCCAAAAAAATTTTATAGGTAACTGTTTTCAAGTAGGAAATGTTTTAGCTGCTCAATTTGAACGTCATTCTGATTGTGAAAGTACTTACCCCATTATCAGTTTGGGTGCTCTTTCAGTGCACCCCTTAAAATTTGCTATGCAAATGAATATATGCTTGTACTTGACTTAAAAACGTTTGTGCTAAAATGAGCAAAGCTATGTGTATACAAAATATGATGGGTCATGACAAGGATGATATGAAAACGGTCAATTCTGAACTGTGTAAGGGGTGGTCTTACAGTTTATGAACTATGGAAGCCCCGTGCTTTTTTTTTGCCTCTTTTGGACCTTTCAGTGATGATCGTGAGCGCCTCAGTCTTGCTGGCCCCTGTGCAGGTTGGGCAGACGTGGGTCTTTACCGTGTGGAATTATCTGTTTATTTCGTTTCTTCACGTTCTTTTGTTCTCTGTTGCTCTCGTGTGTGAAGCATTTCCTGCCCACCATTCCTCCAAACTCTCGCACCTCGCGGTCAGGACACAGTCCTGTACTTACCAGCAGTGTGGCATTCGCGTGTCTCTCCCCTCTCCCCACTACCCGCTTCTCCCAACATTCAAATAAGTGGTATTTACTCATTTAGTTTCTTATCAAGTACTTATTCTTGGTTTTAAAAAATTAATGGCAATTGTGTGTTTTTCTCATTTTTAGTATTATTCAACAGTGTACATTTTAATATCTTTAAAACCACTTTAAAATTTTTTCATGTTTAATTGTAGTTTTAAGAAAAACTATTTTGAACAACCTCAAATGTAGTACGTTAGAATCTAGTGTATATTTCTGTAGCTATACTTCCAGTGGCAGTAGACTGTAGTATGTGGTAATTTTACTATTAAGATATAATAAAACATGACTAATTTTTCTGTCAAAAAGTGAGTGAATAATGATAAGTGAATGGTATTTTTCTATTTTACGTACAAAATTGCCTGTCTTTAATAAGACAAAGCCTTAAGCCTTATAATTTTGGTTCCAGAAACCATCGTTTCAGTACGAGGACTGAACATGTTCATCCTTCCTCTTTATGTTTTTCTTCCTATTTATTTTTATTTTGGAAAATTTCCAAACCTACTTGGAATTCCTAGTATGAATTTTTGCTTCCTAGAAGTTAATTTGTGTGAAATGAGTTTCTTCAACACAGTGAATCCCTTTATAGTTCTGAAAAATGGCTCTAAGATTTTAAATTCTGAGCCCACCGTGACCCTGGCAGACCACACCTTTAATTATACAGTGTTCTCTTTATTAACCACAGGCACATTAACCGCACTGTGGATTGTCCTTGAGACCCGAGTCCTCAGGGATGGTTTCCGGTGCCCACTCCTGGGGGCCATCGCAGAGCTGTCCTCTTTCTGCCTCCTCTCCAGAGCCCAAGGACAAGCCTGGTCCGGGGCAGGCACCAGCTCGCTCAGAGCGGACAGCTGCAGACCCCGCCTCGGCTGAGGAGTGCGCGGCCCCCGCCCCCAGCTCGCGTTTCCAGGGAGCCTCCTGCCAGCCCCGAAATTCCGTCAGTGTCTTCAGGTGCCGGCCCCTCTTTGTCGCTTGCTGGGTGACTTCTATTTCTTTGGCTTTTGCTGGTTTCAGAAAATAGGGACGTCGCCGGGGAGCTGTGGCTTAGGAGTAGAATTGGAGCAACGATGCAGCAATCCCGAGAAACGGGAAGAGGCCCCGCCCCGGAGGGTGAGGGTCGCCGGGACGGGAAGAGGCAGGCATGCTTGGCTCTGTCTACAACTGTTTCTCACCCAAATATGGCTGTTTAGTACATTCAGCAGTTACTGTTTTTTAAGATGGTACTTTTAAAGTTAGTCTGTGTTCTGCCTGCCCTCCGATCATTTCCTTCCTAATAAGTTCCCGTGTAATGACTGGAAATTCTGTACGGAAGAAACATTAAAATACTGTTGGGAAAGGGTGAAAGTAGTCAAGTTCGTTGTACTTGAGAAGAATCCTCTTGTAACGGTATTTATTAATGTGACTCCACCAGCAAGCTGTGATTCTGTTTTAGGCCAGACAGCTCAGAACAGGGGCCTTGGGCTACGCTGCACTCAGCCTTGGTCACATCTGGCAGCAGTCGGTGCTGTAGAGTATAAGTCTCTTTTATGGCAACATAGTGTAGTGGTAGGCTTGATATACATGACAAAAAAGTATTAAAGCTCAGTATTTTCTGCATTTAAAAATATTTTTGCTTTCGTGTGAGAAAGGTAAGGATGGGCAAGGAGGCGATAAAAAATAGCTATTGCTATGACATAAAAAACAAAGTTGGGGCAGTATTTCTATAAAAAGACAAGCCTCTAAACATGCTTAACAGGAAAGGTGTGTTAATATAAGACAATGATATTAAGGAGAAAATGAAAGGATGTATCAGGAATAAAGTGATAATACACAGGGGTATTGTATTTTTATGAATTTTATGCCAGTTGTTTACATGTACTATGTATGTTAAATAAAAAAGATCATGAAAGATACGGAAAGTGGTTTTTTGATTGCTATTTTCATTTCCGCCTTGACTGGGAGCGTGTTCAGCCTCACTGTGTAGTCAGTCAGATGACCGGCTGGTCTGTGGCCGACCGCAGTCCTTGAGGGGCGGGGAGGGCTGTAACAGTGGGGCCCTCTCCACTGGTGGTGGTGTAGGTATTGGGGTCACCCATACTCTTCTTACATTTATGGCCTTGCACACTTATATTACTTTATCCTTTACATGAAGGGACACACTCATTCTTTAAAGCCGTACTTTGGGGATAATTCCAGAGTTGCCGAAAGGTTTTTCTCATGCATTCAGCCACAGTTCTGTCTCATGACAGTTCCTAAATTACAGCTCTGTGTTTTTGCCTGATACAAGCATCAGCTTTATGTGTGTCTGTCTGGAGGGAAGACAGTTGAGCTTAGCGCGTGCTTGTATAATTAATTTCTTTATGCGGCGACACCTTCATTCTCTGACATCTCGGGGAATGAAGTGTTCGAGCACAGTGGCTCTCAGACGCAGTGTGCATCAGATTCGCCCCGGGGGCTTGTAGAAACAGACTGCTGTCCTGCCACAGAGGTTTCGGATTCAACTGGCCTCAGATGGTGCTATGGTATCAAGACTTGTGTTCCCCCCAAAACTCATATGCTGATATCCTAACCCCTACGGTGATTACATGTTAGGGGATGGGACATTTGGGAGGTGATGGGGCCATGAGGGTGGAGCCCTCATGAAAGCTCCCTTGCCCCTTCTACCAGGTATGGTTATAGCTATGAGATGCCATCCTGCACCAGGATGCGGACTCACTAGTCCCAGAATCAGCCAGTGCCTTGATTTGGGACGTCCAGCCTCCAAACTGGGGGAAATGAATTACTGTTGTTTATAAGCTATCCAGTCTGTGGTATTTTGTGATAACAGCCCAAACGGCCTAAGGCAGATGGGGCCCCAGAATCTGCCTTTCTAACCAGTTCCAGGTAATGCTGATGCTGTTATTCCAGGGACCACACTTGCGAACCCCCGCTCTGATGGATGTGAAAGGACTCTGGATGACGCCTGTAAGGGACACTGCATTCCTGATAGCACTCATCTGGTCAGTCACGATATTGGGAAGTGAATTTTGCGGAGTCCCTTCTTGTATCAGAGGACATTGCTTCAGCACAACTTGCAAGGAGCAAAGCACAGATAACAGTAATTTTCAACCAGAACATCCGTATAGCTTATTTGCTTCGTATTGGCTGAATAGACGAGTTAGGGGTCATTTAAATATTTTGAAGCTGAAAACTAGACTGGGCTTGGACCTGTTTCAGTTTAGAGATGGAAAAAGGGTGAAATCCTTTGAAATTGGACTTCCTTTTGTAAAATTACTATGTCTAGAAGAAAACAGATAATTCAGTGTTACATGTGGATTTTAAAACGTCATTTTCCACTTGATTGCTTTCGTTAGGCCCCAGAAATGCTCGGTCTCCCTCTGTTAAGAGAGCAGCTAACGATCAGCTCTGGGTTACACATCACCTGGTTCTTTGCTGCCTTCTCTTTCTCTTCCCCCAAGTAGAAGTTTCTGATTTAAATCAGTGAAAACTCTTCCTTGTGCAGAAAAAGAGGAGCTGCTTTTAAACTTCATTACATTCTTAAATCAGTCTTTATTTCACAGGACTATATCAGTACAAATACATTTTTACTTTTGAAGTTGAAAAGACATTAAGGTATAGAAAGGCCTTGAAAACTCTTTCCTTTTACCTTCCCTCCCCTGAGAGCGCGTTTAAAATTCTGAATGAATGGAAGAGTTGAGGACTTCTCTTAAGATTTTGAGTCAGTGTGGTGTAGTTAAAAGGGAGATTTTTCTTTTTTTGCAAAGAGATTGATACTGGCTCTGCTTTCAAAGCACTGTTTTCTGTACTCAACGATCTCTAACCCAAAATTCTAATTAAATAAGCAACGTGTTGTCAAAATGACTTTCACAGAAATGGCAGTGCCACCGAGTATTCTGTTTATGCAGGCATGTTTTTCAACATAATATCGTTTCATTGGTTTTTAAGTACTAGGGCACTTTTTTCTGTATGCATATTTAATTTGAAAGAAGGTTGAATGTAGCAAAATTTAGCTCATTCAGTTTTATGCTGATTGTCCTTAAAGCTTTTGTACTTCCCACTTCTAAAAAAATATAGAACTGAAAATAAATGACTGTTTATAAGTAGATTTGGCATCAGGCCATCAAAACTGTTTTTTTTTTTTTTAAATGGCACCTGAAGGCCAGCTCTTCAGCTCAGCCTTCTGGCCCCGGTCGCAGCTCTGGTTCTTCTGCCTGGGGGATGGTACTCCGCTTGCTGGCTGGCAGGCCCCTCAGAGCTTCACTCTTGGTATCTGCTCGTTGACCAGAGTCCAGATGCAGAGGCCCCCCTCTTGCCCTATAGCACCCTCTTCCGAGGAAGCACAGCCTGGGAATCCTTCCAGCCCTTTATATCTTGATGAACTTGGCTTTTTCTATCCCAGACCTATGGCAGTCGTTCTCAAACTTGTCTGCACATTGGAAATGACTTGGGGAGCATTGAAAATACTGAAGTCTTTCCCCCACCCCCAGAGTCCACGATTTAATTAGTCTGGGGAGTGGCCTGAGGTTTACACATTTTAGGACCTAGACTCCCTGCCTCACTTCTGGGCACCCACCCTTTCCATGTCTCAGCCCACCCAGATTAGAAATGGTGAGCAAGGTTCTCTCAGATACACATTCTCCTTCGTTAATCATGATTGACTGCTTCTACTTTATTTCTGTTAATCATGGAACCCAGTATTGACTAGACTCTTTAAGGACGGAATTCTCTGCTCAGTAGGAAACATCTGCCGTGATGGTGGCGTTAGTGGAGGGGAGAGTGGCAGCATAGGTGTCACATATTTGTAAACCCTGCTTAGAGTGTCAATAAGAAATGGGAATATAACACTGAACAAAAAAGAATAAAAATAAATTACTTTAAAAATTAGTTCGACAATTGAATATTAGTGCAGAGAATCATGTTTCTCCTCTTTACATATGCTTTTTTTTCTTTTTTCCTGGGATATGCTTTCTTGATCAGGTTTCACGTCAAGAGACAACTCAAATGTCACCTCTGTGAAGCCCTCCCTGACTTCCTACCCCTTTGCTGAGTGAACTGCCTCTTCTGCCCATGCTCCTGTAACTCCTGCACTCCACATATTTAACATGACTTTTTCGGCTGCATCATGTCCTCACAGACAAGACCCATGTCATTCCATTCCGAATACACAATGCCCCCAAGTGCAGTTCCTAGCAAGTAGGAATACTGACTGAGTTTTGAAATCAGCCTTTCACAGTGCAGTACATTCTGGATAGCACTATAATTTTCTTTAAAATGAGAAGCAATGGGAGATTATGTATTCCAGCTGTGGAGATGAAATAATAAGGGGATGCGGGACATCTTCTGTGGAGATGAATATCATATATAGGAAAAAAGTGTTCTTGATAAACAGCTCAACAAAAGATAACCTCGTATCCTGCCTAGGTGCCTTGATACATTCACACATGGGTGGTAACCGAATAACTACTGGAAAGCAATATGGCAAAGACATGTCTATTTCTAAAGGGAGGACTCTCATTGGCCTGGTGTGGGTTGTGTGGACCAGGATACTATGATGGCCAGTCCGGACCCATCCAGTGTTGGCCAGGAAGCAGGGAACTCTGGTTTGGAATTTGGTTAAAGTCTGGGAGGAGGGCATTCTGCAAGGATGGGGAGAGACCAGTATGTTGTTGCTGGATGAGAATGTGAGACAAAACAGATGACAGCAGTCACAATGAACATCGTCATAACTGAGAGCTAGATTGGAACCCTGGGCCCATCCTTAACAAACTTTGCGAGATAAGACATGTTTCTTAATTTTGAGAATCCATTTTCTTGTCTCTCAAAAGGATATGCCTCCTAGGGTGGTAATTAAAAAAAGAGAGAGAAATAGATATCCACAAACACAGCAGGCAATTTTTACATTCCTCTCTTAGAAACCGATACAGTGAGCAGGGGGAAAGAAAAAAAAATCACAAAGATCAATAAGAAAATACATGACTTAAGCAATCAGAAAAGCAATCCTGACTTCATGGTCGTCTGTGGAACAAATGCACCCGAAACACGAAGATGATGTGTTCTGTTCAAGCACGTGGGATGTTTCCAAACTGACAATAGAGCGTGAGTTCCAGAAGGGTCTATTTTGTTCACTGGTGTAACCCGAGCACCTGGAACAGTACCTGGCGTCTATGTAGGTACAGACCACATGGTAAAAATCCAGGCGTTGGTTGGTAGACATCCGGGTGGCTTCTCACCTTGGCTGTTGTGAAGGCAGTGGACACGAGCGTGCTCAGATCTCTGAGACTGATTTCGGCTCTTCTTGTCTGCACTTCTCTAGGTTCTCTAGCCCCAGGGCCTTCGCCTTCATCATCAGACATGCCTGGTGGGGTGTTTCCCAGCCAGAGGATCGCTACTCTTTCTGAAATGAATTCTCTCTCGAGCTTAAATAGCCTTACAGAAAGAACATCTCCCTCCCTTTCGCTTTCCTTAATCATGGTGCCCTGCGCAGACCAGCACACCCTTTTTAATGCTGACAACCTCTGAGGTTTTCCTTTTGTGCTTTTCTTCCCAGGTGTCACCCTGTGCCCTCCGGGATAATTTCATGCTGCTCCTCTTTGCTTTTCATTGAGAACAGGAATAATTCATCCAAACATAAGGAGAGAAAAAGGGCTTTTGGTGGGGAGGGGGGAGAAAAATCAATCCCCTGTCAAATCCCCTGTCAAAATAGTCTGTCTCCACATCTGCCCCTTTCACTCATCACTCAGCCTTTGTTTCAAGTGGACCCGGCGGGAGCTGGGGGGGGGGGGGGGGTGGACCTGGGCCGGGGAGCAGAGGAGCTCGGCTCAGCAGAGCACAGGCTGCCTTCTGAGCTGAACAGGAAAATGACTAAGTGATGACAGGGAATGGCTGCCAATTCCAAGGAGCATTGCCGCCTCTG